CGTGGCTTGGGTCAGGCACACCTTAGTCTTCAAAGTGACATCTTTGTTCTTTAACACTTTAAAGAGGTCTTCTGCAGCAGAATTGCCCAGTGGAACACATCATTTGATTTATTGACTGCTGCTTCCATGTCCTGGGGAGGGACTACTCTGCAATGGGTTCTATAAATCTCCTAGAGGTCCCCAGGAGGACTGAGCCCCAGTACCCAATGGTCAGCTATTGATTAACACACTCTTTATTGGCTTCCTTCTCTTCTCTGTCCATGTTACCAAAACCCCAATCAGTTGCTGTTGGGTCAGTTCTACTCATGGTGACCACATGTGTTGCAGAGTAGAACTATTCCATAGGGTTTTCAATGGTGGTGACCTTTTGCGTGCCTCTGGGTGGTTATTTGTTTAGTAACCAAGTGCTTAACTATTTGCATCCCTCAGACAACATGAATATTAGGTTGAGTTTAAGCAAAAAGAAAGGTGAAGAAAGAGCTTACTGAACTTCTTGGTTGCCATTCACTTTAGGCTGCATTCCCCTAAAAGGGGTGGGGTGATGTCATCAGATCCTAATTGATTATGAAGAAATTGGGAGGCTATGACAAGATTGGAGTCAAAGGAGATCAAGCTGTTCACTGGGTAACACTCTATTGGGCTCTATTAATAACTAATGAAACTAAAAAGTGGAGAATGAGGAAGCTGAATTGTAAGAAAGATGATTTTCATATGCTGTATATAGATTTGAATTAGATTGACCAGAAAGAGTTTTAATGGAAAGTGGACAAGAATACTAATGGAATAGTTCAAAAGGAAATTTGTGTCACGCAGCTATAATATATGACTTGAGGTAATAAATCAGTCAGAAGTTCCCTGCACTTCCCTAACCTCTGTGACCAAAGGCCTCTTGTGATCAACAATGAATTGCAATCGAAATAATGAAAAGTTCACAAATGAGACAAGAATAGACTCTGTTGTGCAGAGTAGGAATAAACATCTCAGATAAATCTTCCAACTCAAAATATTTTTTGGGACACCTTTTTATTCATATAATTTTATGTGAATTTTTTTCATTTTGCGTCACAATTAAGCCACAGAGATGCTGCTGTTCAGGGCCCTTGAACTTTCTGAATCTCTTTATGAGGATTTTAAAGTCATGGATTAGAAAAACAGAAAATAGCATTTATCCAAGGACAACTGTAACCGATAGTAACAAATGATTCAATGACTCTGTAAGTTGAGGGCTTTAGCCATGGAACCAAACTAAATGCAATAAACAAACATTGGATATGACATAAATATCCATAGACATAGATGTTGAAGAAATACTGAGGGACTAAATTCAGTTAGACAACTATCCTCAATGTCATTTTTTACCATACGAATAGTCTAACACAAGGCCATATCACTAAATTCTGAATTAATGCTATGGCAAATTTTTATTTATAGTGATTTCCAAGTGCTAATCTTTGAAACAAGTGTATTTTAAAGAAAAAAAAAAGTGTAATTATTAGCTATTGTTCAAGTTTAACCTGCCACGGAAGAGTCCCTAGGTGGTACAAAAAGTTAATATGCTCAGCTGCTAAGCAAAGAGTTAGAGGTCTAAATACACCTAAGAGTGTCCTTCCAGATGTGTCTTAGAAGAAAGCCCTGGTGATCTGTTCTGAGAAGGCCACTGACAGGCTTATGGAACACAGTTCTACTCTGACGCACATGGGGTTGCCATAAGTCAGAATCAACTTGATGCAACTGGTTACCAGTAACACACCAGGGCAAAACTAGCTAGACTTAAGGATGAAGAAGGGTTGGGGAGGAAGAGAGGCATTGAAGAAATATGGAAGATCTTTTCAACCAGCTCCCAGCCAGGCGGTCTCCTTTTAAATGCCTGTGACTCTATAGATACTGGTTAAATTATGGGATCATTAAAATAAAAAGGGAGGGGTCAAAAAGAGATGACAAGAGCAGGAAGTGACCTGTTACTGATTTTCCAATGGATGTATATATACATGGCAGATATTGGGAATGGACTCTGACGTGGCCTGTTCTGACTTCTGTAGGTAGTTGATAGGTGATACCAGTGGGTTTTTAGATGATTAATGAAAGCATGTTTTAAATCAGTATTAAAACTTCTGAATTACTGACAGATGTTCATATGGTTTGTGACCCTTTTCATGTCAAGGGTAGTTATGTGCTGCTAAATATCACTTCTTTCAAAAACCATGAACCCTAAACTAGAGTGTGCTGAGAGGCAAAAGGAGTTTTCAAGTACAAGCGGTCAAAAGTCAAAATCTAGGTTTCAAAGAAGTCAGAGTGCTTCCTTGCTGAAACACTACAAACTTGAAAGTGTGAGAGTGATAGGGAAAGTGGGTCACGCTTTGTGAGGAAAAAAAAAAAGATTTTTGGCATCTAGTTCAGATGTGGAAGCTCTGGTGGCTTAGTGCCTAAGGCATTTGACTGCTAACCAGAAGGCTGGTGGTTCAAACCCACCAGCCACTTCTCAGAAGGAAGATTGGGCAATCTACTTCCATAGTGATACCACCTCAGAAACCTAAGGAGGGGTTGCTATGAGTGGGATCCAACCCACGACAGTGAGTTGAGTGAGTGAGTTCAGGAGCATGTTTTCTGCCTTCTTGTTCTTCCCTTCCTCTTATATCTCTTCTCAAGTCCTAAAATAACTCAATTTAAAAATGTGTTACAGTCCTCTTAAAAGACTCATTAGGATTTTAATCTGGAAAATTAAGTGCAAAACCACATTGATTTTGCAGTCATGGTCAGGAAATTGAATTTTTAAATTCCGTCTTCAGAGTTGGTAAGTGAACTTCACAACCAATAAGCGGGACACAGCCTCTGGCTTGACCTATATGACGTAATGCTGGCCTCCAGCTCACAACTGGCTCCCTAGAGGCAAGTGGCTTCAAGGCCTAGCTAATATGTAGAGGAGTGTAGTAGAGTGATGGAAAGAACCAGATGCTAGGGCCACATTCTCATCCTGACTCTGCTTCTTCATGTGAGACCATGAAAAATCATTGCCTCTCTGGGCTCATCTCTAAACTCCAACTCTCATATTCTATGAGTCTACCCACCAGCCGCTCCTCGGAGGGAACATTGGGCAATCTACTTCCAAAGTGATACTGCCTTGGAAACCCAAGGAGGGGTTGCTGTGAGTCGAGTCCAACTCGATGGCACATAATGACAACAACATGAGCCAGGGAGGATGTGAATAGAGCATCCAGGAGAAGCTAAAACTATAGAGGCATTTTAGTGTGGCCCTAAGCCATCTCTCTTATGGAGACATACTTGTGAAAATATTTGACCTGGATTGGTGATAGGATTATTGGTGCATTTTAAAAATATGCATTTATTTTTCCTTTACATTTTCTATGGTGAATGTGTACTACTGTTACAGTTTTAAAAACTATGGGCAGGAAAGAATGCAGTTGACGTCAGAGAAAAACAAAAGCAAAGGAGGTCTGTTGGGAGTATAAGGTAGTTTCCTGTAGGCCAGGCATCTGTTTTATTAACTCGGGTGGGTCTCTGGCTCATACTCCCCTTCAGGATCCCGACATATCAGCCTGCCTCTAAGAGGTACCTGATTGTCAGTTAACCGTCAGGGTGGTAGGGGCCATGTCAACAGGGACAGTTGAAGCTTTGTGTGTTCCGCCTGATAAAGGGACCTCCAGCAAAGCTAGTCTTGAATGTTTATGTTAGCAGACGCACCAGGCATGTGGCTGGTGCACTCAGTTAAGCGTCCTATCGTCTTGTTTTCCAGCTCGTCCGTGCATCGTGGGGGAGTGGAGCCCCTGGAGCGGCTGCGCAAACCAGTGCAAGCCCACCGCCCGTGTGCGAAGGCGCCTCGTGCAGCAGGAGCCTCAGAACGGCGGGACGCCTTGTCCGCCCCTGGAAGAGAGAGCCGGCTGCATGGAGTATTCAACGCCGCAGGGCCAGGGCTGCGGGCACGCCTTCGGTACTGCTGTTGTCATGTTTCCACCTGTCTTATCTCTGGTAACTTTTGGCCACTTCATCCCATAAAGCGACTTGTGCTGTGGAGGGAAAGTTCCATGCACTGCAGGGAGTGGGATAGGCAGGTCTGCCCAAAGGAGATAGGAAGCTCAGGAAATGCTAAATAAATGAATGAATGGCCAGTTGCATAAACGCCTCCCTTTCCCTGCTGCCCTCATTGTGTTTTCTAACCCGATGACTCATAGTGTACACAGACGAGGTAATACAAGATGAGAGCATTGTGTTGTTTAGGAAATTTAATCAATCAGTCTGGCAATACAGGACTTAAGAAGGGTGATATTAGGTCACACAGGATAGGTAAGGATAGCTCTAAGGAGCTCCAGTGGTATTAAGCACTTGGCTACTAACTAAAAGGTAGGCGTTTTGACCCACCTGGTGGTTTCCACCCACCAGGAGAAAACTGGAGATATGCTCCAGTAATCATAGCCTAGAAAACTCCACAAGTCAGTTCTACTCTGTCTCTTGGGAGGATGATGGTAGAAATTGACTCCAGGGCACATAACAGCAAGGCTGGCTTTATTTTGCCTTCCACTCTAATTCCTATGTAATTCCACACTCACACACGTCTAGAAAGTACATTTTTAAAATACTTCTTTGTTTCCTATACGGTGTCTGCAATGAATATATATTGTTGTTAGCAGCCATTGAGTTCACTGTAGTAGAATGTAGTGGACAAATTCTAAATTCTTCCACAATGATAAAATGGTTGTCTTAAAATGCCTGTGTCTCCTCTAGCAGACTGGGTTGGGGTTGATATGATCAGATCTATGATTTGAAAAGACCACCCTGGTTATGGAGTAACAAAGTTGGCTCACTGAGCCAGGAGCGATCCTATGCTCACAAAAAAATACAGGCATATCTCAGAGATATTGTGAGTTTGGTTCCAGACTACCACAATAAAGCGAGTCACATGAATTGATTTCCCAGTGCATATAAAAGTTATATTTACACTATATGATAGTCTATTAAGTGTGCAATAGTATTATGAAAAAGTTAGAAATATTTTGACAATTAACAAAATGAGACACACAGACACGAAGTGAGCACACGCTGTTGGAAAAATGGCACCAATAGACATTGAAGGGTTGCCACAAACCTTCAATTTGTAAAAACAATACAATAACTGTGAAACATAATATGTTGTTGTTGTTAGGTGCCATCCAGTCATCTCTGACTCATGGCGACCCCACGTACAGCAGAATGAAATACTGCCTGGTCCTGTGCCAGCCCCATGATCCTTGCTGTATCTGAGCCCATCGTTGCAGCCACTGTGTCAATTCATCTCATTGAGGGCCTTCCCCTTTTTCATTGTCCCTCCACTTTGCCAAGCATGATATCTTTTTCCAGAGAATAGGCCCTTTTTAAAACATGACCAAAGTAGGTGAGACAAAGTTTGGCCAAGGAGCATTCTGGCTCCTTGATTTTGACTTTTGACCGCTTGTGCTTGAAAACTCCTTTTGCCTCTCAGCACACTCTAGTTTAGGGTTCATGGTTTTTGAAAGAAGTGATATTTAGTAGCACATAACTATCCTTGACATGAAAAGGGTCACAAACTATATGAACATCTGTCAGTAATTCAAAAGTTTTAATACTGATTTAAAACATGCTTCTTCCAGGACAGATTTGTTAGTTCTTTTAGCAGTCCATGGTACTTTGAGCATTCTTCACCAACACCACAGCTAAAAATCAACGATTCTTCTTCAGTCTTCCATTTTCATTGTCCAGCTCTCACATGCATATGAGGCTATTGAAAATACCATGGCTTGTGTCAAGTGCACCTTAGTCTTCAAGGAAACATCTTTGTTCTTCAGCACTTGAAAGAGGTCCTTTGCAGTAGATTTGCCCAATGCTATATGACATCTGATATCTTGACTGCTGCTTCCATTGGTGTTGATTGTAGAACCAAGTAATATGAAGTCTTTGACAAATTCAATCTTTTCTCCATTCATCATGATGCTTCTTATTGGTCCTGTTGTGAGGATTTTTGTTTTCTTTATATTGAAGTGTAATCCATACTGCAGACTGTAGTCTTCAATTTTCATCAGTAAGTGCTTCAAGTCATCCTCACTTTCAGCAAGCAAAGCTGTCATCTGCATATCACAGGTTGTTAATGAGTCTTCCTCCGATCCTGATACCACTTTCTTCTTCATATAGTCCAGCTTCTCAGATTATTTGTTCAGCCTACAGATTGAATGAATATGGGGAAAGGATACAACACTGACATACTCCCTTCTTGATTTTAAACCATGCAATGTCACCTTGTTCTGTTCAAATGACAGCCTCCTGGTCTATGTATGAGTTCCTCATGAGCACAATTAAGTATTCTGGAATTCCCATTCTTCTCAATGTTATTCATAATTTGTTATGATCCACACAATCAAATGTTTTTGCATAGTCAATAAAACATGAGTAAACATCTTTCTGGTATTCTTTGCTTTCAGCCAAGATTCATCTGACATTGGCAATGATATCCCTCATTCCACATCCTCTTCTGAATCCAGCTTGCATTTCTGGAAGTGCTCTGTCAATATACTGCCATACGCATTTTTGAGTTATCTTCAGTAAGATTTTACTTGCATGCAATATTAATGATATTGTTCGATAATTTCCACATTCTGTGGGATCACCTTTCTTTGGGAGGGTATAAAAATGGATCTTTTCCAGTCAGTTGGCCAGGTATTTGTCTTGCAAATCTCCTGGCATAGTCAAGTGAATGTCTCTAGTGCGGCATCCATTTGTTGAAACATCTCAATGTATATCCTGTCAATTCCTGGAGCTTTGTTTTTTTGCCACTTCCCTCAGTGCAGCTTCAACTTCGTCCTTCAATACCCTTGGTTTTTGATCATATGCCACCTCCTGAAATGGATGAACAGCCACCAATTCTTTTTGGTACAGTGATTCTGTGTATTTCTTCCATCTTCTTTTGATGTTTCCTGCATCATGCAATATATTGCCCATAGAATCTTTCAATATTACAACTTGAGGCTTAAATTTCCTCTTCAGTTCTTTCAGCTTGAGAATTGCCAACCATATTCTTCCCTTTTGGCTTTCCAATTCCATGTCTTTGCACATTTCATTATAATAATTGACTTTGTCTTTTCAAGCTGCTCTTTGAAATCTTCTGTTTAGCTCTTTTATCTTGTCATTTATTCCATTTACTTTAGCTACTCTCTGTTCAGAGGCAAGTTTCAGAGTCTCTTCTGACATCCATTTTGGTCTTCCTTTTCTGTCTTTTTAATGACTTTTTGCTTTCTTCATAGATGATGTTCTTGATGTCATCCCATAATTCCTCTGATATTTGGTCATTGGTGCTCAATGCATCAAATCTATTCCTTAGATGGTCTCTTAAATTCAGGAGGGATATAATCAAGGTCATATTTTGGGTCTCGTGGACTTCTTTTAATTGTCTTCAACTTCAACTTGAACTTGCAAATGAGCAGTTGATGGTCTGTTCCACAATCAGCTCTTGGCCTGGTTTTGGCTGAAGATATTGAGTTTCTTCATCATCTCTTGCCACAGATATAGTCAATCTGATTCCTGTGTGTTTCATCTGGTGAAGTCCATGTGTATAGCCGTCATTTGTGTTGTTGAAAAAGGTCTTTGCAATGAATAAGTCATTGGTCTTGTAAAATTCTATCATGCAATCTCCAGCATTATTTCTATCATCTCCAAGGGCAAATTTTCCAACTATGAATGATTCTTCTTTGTTTCCAACTTTTGCATTCCAATCACCAGTGATAATCAGCACATCTTGATTGCATGTTTGGTCAATTTCAGACTACAGAAGTTGGTAAACATCTTCAATTTCCTCATCTTTGGCTTTGCTGGTTGGTGTGTAAATTTGAATAATAGTAGTATTAACTGGCTTTCCTTGTAGACATATGGGTATTATTCTATCACTGACAGCATTGTACTTCAGAATAGATCTTGAAACATTCTTTGTGATGATGGATGCCACACCATTCCTCTTCTATTTGTCATTTCCAGCATAGTAGATCATATGGTTATCTGATTCAAAATGGCCAAAACTGGTCCATTTCAGCTCACTAATGCCTAGGATATCAATCTTTATGCATACCATTTCATTTTTGATAACTTTCAATTTGCCTAGATTCATACTTCGTACATTACATGTTCTGATTATCAGTGGATGTTTGCAGCTGTTTTTCTCATATTGAGTCATGCCACTTCAGCAAATGGAGGCCCTGGAAGCTCTGCTTCATCCATATCATTAAGGTAGGCTCTACTCTGATGTGGCAGCTCTTTCCCAGTCATATTTTGAGTGCCTTCTGACCCTGTGGTGGGGGCACAGAGAATGAAGCTGGTGATGAGAGGGTAAGATGGAGCAGGTGATGGCCTGGTCGTGTCAGCCTGAGTGCCTGTTTAGGATTCTGGTCTTTATCTTAAGAGCCTTGGAAAGCCATTGGAGTATATTCTGCAGAGGCTTTTGTGCTCAGATGTGTGATTTGGAAAGATGATTGTGGCAGTGGAGTGGTGAATGGAGGGGCCAGAGGGGAGCCTCTTATTGATCATAGTCACATTAAGCTCACAGGGAAATAATTTAGTGCTTTGAAAGTGGTTGTTCACAAGAAATTGTCATAGTACCAAAGCCTATCATTCACTGTATGCACTCTACAGAAATACCACAGAAAAGGCTCAGGGAGGTAGTCACTTTATGACATTATTGATTTTTTTGATGGCTCTTAAATCTATAGTCAATCTATCAGTGAAAGCAACTGCTCTGCTCTTGTGTTGTGCTGGAATACCTGCTAGAATATTTGACTCCTCAGAGCTGCACCAGACTGTCACAGATGCCTCCCAGCCCTGGGTTTCTTTACACTGCAGGCGAGGATTGTGGAAAAGAAGGGTCAGTGAAGGGGATGCTGTGGACCATGGGCCAAGGGCATAGGGAACATGATGGCCATTTGCACCAGGGACAAATGT